AAAGAGATAGATGCGGGGATAATACCAAAATGACTATTGTGTTAACTTATGTTTAAGGAGAATAATAACCAATTCGAATGTCATAAGCGGAGATAATACCAAAATACTATTATATTAACTTCATTCCTAATATTGTATATATTATTAATTTTGTCAATCTTTATACTTGCGGGGAGATTTTTAACAAACATAAAACAACTATGTTTTTTGAGAATTAATCTCCAATCAATATATTTAAARTATATATTTCTAATAAATGYGTGCGATTAAAGATACATGGTATAAAVTATCKTATACYATTTGATTTATYTATTTTTGAAAAATGAATGGGTAAACAAAATATTATGTTTTAATTCGTTGATAATATATTAATAAATCACTTGTCCGCGCATGCGCGCGGGTAACACCTAGTAAAATTAATAGAAATATGTAGATTTCCACCACGATATATAGTTTTAAATTTTAATATAAAGATTTTTATTGGTTAATTTAAATGACATGTTCTTTAAAAATAATCTCTACTTCTTATTTTGTTTAATGGACCATATTATTGTGAGTTTAATAACTTTCACTAAAAATTCTTTAAAACCCTCTTAAGATGATACATAGGATTTTTCCATGGTGTCTTTCTCCATTTAGAGGTTTTGATGTGGTGAGTGCAAAATTACAATTTTGAACATAGTGTCTGCTTGAAAATAAGCAAAAGCAAGAGGTTGCATTTCAATAATGTATGATCTCTTATGTTGTTGTTGACAATTTGATCCATATAAGGTGGAAATTCTGGTACTAACTCTAGATCCCAAAACATCATTTAGGGTTTAAGTCTTAAGACGGAAAATGTGACGTTCTGTTGCATATTTTACATTGAAAGAATGCGACAGGGCAAAGTATCTCTTCTCCTCAAAGTAAATGTACCCTCAAGGAAAATGTATCTATTATACATTGTTTTGATGAAAGAAGTATTGATTCTTTGTTTCTTTGTTAGGTAACTCCTAACAATTGTTATTTTATATTATTGGGTTTACAAAGGCATATATAATGATGTCTTCCGCTTTTTTATATACCACATCAAACAACCCCTCTTTGACTCGCATACATCGATCCACACATGGAT